AGTCTGCTAATGTGTACTCACATGTCAGGGGAGTGTACAGTGTTCACATGTCCTGCGTACAGTAGCTGGTCGTCCATCGGGATCAATACTCTGAGTCCGTCCACCAGAGAGTCCTTATCCAGCACACACTGCACTGGAGCTGAACACAACACCACCCCAAACAGTAATAAATATACATGCTATCATTTTAGCATGTGTGACAATCTGAGGTTCGAGTCTGCGGGCACTGACCGGGAGTCGAGGCACTCTCTGACACGCTGCTGCTTCGTGCTGGGACGAGTTCGTCCTCGCTGAAGCTGCTGTCTTGGTTGTGTTCGAAGTCTTCGTCTGCCGCCATGCTCTCCATCAGCCGGCTCACCGCACCCCTGGAAGGCTGCAACACAAACAAGCAGATTTGATTATATTCCCAAAAAAACGTGATGATGTTATTTTCCTTACAATCAAATTATTCTGGAACAAGAGTGATACCCCCCACGACACAGTGGCTTTTCTACTTAATGTTGACTTGTGGCACCTTCACCAAATCACCAGGCTGACACTCCACAAATGAACTTTTCACACACAAACAGTAGCATATTACAACGCTTATGCTGTCGAATAAACGATCTCCACCAGCACAAAGAGCCCTGCACACACTTCTGCTTCCTTTTCCAAAACAAACTCAAGTTTTGTCTGGCGGCAGATGGTGAGAAATACAACACTTTGGCAGAAATCACACAATTAGGTTTACTTTTTCCCCTCAGTAACAAAACAAAAGTGTTAAATCCAACACAAGCTATTAGTTTGTTTCTGAAGACCTTTTGATACTGTGTACACACACACACACACACAAACACACGCACACACACGCAAGCTTCAAAGTACCTTTTGCACTATTAGGTCCAATATTTTTAAAGATTTGGCTTTGTCCTCGTCAGCATAATTAAGTTTGCATCTTTGCAGCAAATTTATCATCATACTGACCTCTCTGGCTTTGGTCTTGGGTTTTGGTTGACTCTTACGTGCCAGGCTGAGGCTCAGCGGTGCAGGGCTGTCTGTGACTGGACTGCACAGAGTGGACGGGCTCACAGGCAGAGGAGAGTCCTTCAGCTTCTTTTTCTGTTTTTACAACACAGTTAAAAACATGCATATGAATAAATTATGTCACCGAGGCTCTGTTGGGCAGAATGACATTGTGTACACACACACCACACACACACACAAACACACACACAAACACACACACACACACACACACACACACACACACACACACACAGGGGGGTGCATCCAAGCCGCCTGCAGTTGTCCTTTCTTGTCAGCAACACGCCGCAGACAGCAGGGAGTGCTGCACTGACTGAAGTAAAGGAAACCCTGCTGGCGCTCTGACATACACTCCTAAACACACACACTAGCAAACATTTCAATAGAAAAAAGGATGCGAGGGAGCAGGAGTCGGGAATGTTGGGAATGTTGCATGCAAAAAGATGCTGGGAAAGATACATCATGTGACAGAAGCTGCGCTGGAACAGTGGGACAATTTTTGCACCTACATGTCTACCTGACTTGGACATTTGAGCTTAATACAACATATGTTAAAACCTCACTTGTTTTGTTGTGTTTTTTGTTGTTGTTTTTTATTTATTTATTTATTTTGTTTTTGTTTGTTTGCTTCTTGCTTTTGGTTGCTGCATCTTTGTATTTGCTGTTATAAAATTCATAATCTAATAAATACTTGAATTATAAAAAAAAAAAAGGATGCGAGGGAGCAGGAGTCTGAACGAGGGGGCGAAAAGATGTGGAGTGAGAGGAGAGGGGGGAAAAGGTGTGATTTTGCGGTTCAGTCTGAGCCAGTAACAGCTCAGTGACTTCTTGACATACTTTCACCACGTCTTTCCCGTCTCTGCCGGGCTGAGTGGGCTTCGGTCTGGAGACGGCCTTCGGTGTGAGCGGTGGGGCCGAGCTGGTGGAGGAGGACGAGGAGCTCTGACTGGTGGAAGGGGTGGAGGCTGACACAGACATCTGATTTGCTGAAACCGTGGCATCGTGGAGAAAAATCCTCTCGCTGCGTCGGCGGTTCCAGCCCTCATCCTCGCTGAAACCTCCGAACCCAGAGCTGCTGGCGAGGTCGAAACTAAATCTCCGGGGTGAGCGAGGCGTAGGGCGTGATTTGGGCAGAGGTTTGCGTTTGGCTGGCAGGGCCTCGTCTCGCTTGGTGGGGCTACTCTGGTCAACGCGGCGGGTCGCTGGTGGCAAAAGGGGGAGCTCGGGGGCGGAGCGTTTTCCGTGCAGCAGAGAAGGGAACTTCCTTAACCGCACGTCCGAGCCAGAGTCTGACCACTCGCACTCTGTTGAACCTGTAGGAGGTGAGGAGAGGGTCATATGTTGGTAAAAACTTTTCCTATGTATCTCTCACACATGCATAAAACTAGACTCCTCCCATAAACATCCAGTCATTAACGAACTGAAGTGGTAGATTGCCTGAAATCAATAACTGTGAATAGGAGTATTGATCAGTTTGAAACTAATACATAATTCAAGGTGAATCGTTACACACACCCTTGCTGTGACAATTAGAAATGAATTAAAATTTAACCTTCAATCAATAAGAAAATCCTGAACGAATGCTCAGGTGGTGAATCTGCTCAACCACAAAAACAACACAATAGAGTTCAAGGCCATCGGGGGAATGTGTGAAATCAGTTTAAGCAGAGTGAACCGGGTCTGTCTGCATTAAAAAAAAAGGAGAGAGAAGGCACATCAGTTCACAGCTCATTTGTGTGTAAGATCTTTTACCCAGAGTGCTTTGCCTGCTGCAGTGTTTGCTGTCGTGGTGGAGACTCAAAGAGGCCGAGCTGACAGGGAGCGCACTCGCCGCAAACCTGGCCAGCAGACCCAGCCCGCTCTCCTCACAACCGGGGTCGTCGTCTGAATCCGACTCTTCCTCCTCCTCGTCCTCCGAGGTTTCTGCATCAGAGAAAAGATTTCCAGCTCAGAGACAAATGCGTTCACGGCAGGAGGTCTGGACCAAAGGTCAGATCGCTTCCTACTGTTGCAGAGAGAGTGCACCACAGAGAGGGCTAATTAACAAAAGAAATAACACCGCTATTGCAGCAGCCCGGATCTTTAACTATGTGTCTACACAAGTACACATAAACACACATTAACGTGTAGGCAGGAGAGAAACAACAGTGGAGAGAGGAGATCCACTGTCTGAACCGCCGCAGCCCGCCTTTATGTAAAGCTGCACGAGAAAGCGACAGCAAGAAAAATCAACCATAAACATGCATCTGAGCCACACACACACCCACCACAGCTGATTTCAGAGGACGTTATCTTGACTTACACTGGAAATTTCATATAACCTTAGCTGTAGCTTGCCTGAACCTAACCCCAAACTAAACCTATCCTGAAAACATCACTTTACCTTCAAATGTATTCATTGCATCATGAGGTCCCATTAAGTAGTTATGTCCCCATAATGTAAGTGGTGAAACAGATTAAGGTCCCCACAAAGTCGGTAAGACCCGCATGAGCTGACTGGGATATTATTTATTATTGGAAAAATAAAAACACTCAAAAACATCATGGAAATAAAATAAAAGCTGCTCCTCCTCCACTGACAAGCCAGAAGAGCACACAAAGAGACACACACACTCAGAGTGTAGCATAGTAGCTGTTAGCTGCATGTAGCTGGCAGTTAGCAGTTCATGAACAGAGGGGGTTAGTGTTAACATGGAAGGTGGATACACAGTACATTTAAGAGCTGTAAAATTATTAAAAAGGCTATAACTTTGGGATTTAAGTGATACTAAAGCACAGAACTATAAAAAAAATGTTAGCGAAAGGAAACTCATCACTAGGCTGAAAATCAAGTGGTTCTGGATTTTTGTGTTCAAAGCCTCAGTTCTAAGAAGAATCAGAGGTGACTGTGGTGTCAGGTTGCCCTGGAGCATACCTGCCGGTCACTGCAGGGTTTTTAGGCTTTAACCCCAATTAATTGTACAGTTTACTTTCACTGCAGCTCGAGACAAGAACGAAAACATTTAAAGACTTGTTTCGAGGCTCTAACAGTTACTTTTAGGAACCAAATCTGGTGCACATGTTGTACTGTGAATCCACTGTGCGTTAACAGTAGCAGACAGACGTTAGGACAAGCAGGCACTGAGAGGACAGCCCTGTGAGGCCCCTTATGTGGTTTAATTATCCATGGTTACATCCTCTGTTCCCAACCAACACCAAATGTGTCTCTTTAAACTTTTACAAGCCATCAGTAGACATTAACTTGGTAGGTGGGGGTAACCATGGCTACTGCAAGAGCTCCAAATTGTGTGAACAATAAAAAAAATAAATAAATAAAAAATAAAAACCCTCCCCCCCCAAAAAAGTTAATATTCTCTGTAGGCATTTCAATTTCAGCATAGTCCATGTTAGTCAATAATAAAATTGAGGGAGGGGCACATCCTACTTACAGAGCAGGTGACAGGGGTGTGGCCTCAGACAGGGTGGGGCGGAGCAGCGCAGCGGCGAGAGCCTAGCCGTAACGTAGCCTGGCCTTAGCCCAGTCTAGCTTAAGCAAAGCTTTAGCCACAGCGCAGAATGGCCATGGCGCAGTAGTGTAGGCTCAAGGCTGCGCTAGTCCTCGCCAAGCTTCTGTAATGTCGCAGTAGCAGCAGCACAAGCACATGGAACAGGCTGAGACACTTAAAAGCATCATGAGTAGGGCAGGAAGGGATGGGGGTGGGGGTCAAAGGTGAGAGGACAGAGCAAGGTGTCGGAGACAGCAACGTAAAGGGAAAAGGGTTATTTGAAGGTTTAGTAGACACACAGGAGGAGCTCTATTGTCCAAATATCCCAAAATCACTCTTGGGTCATTTTCCCCCCAAAAACGTCAAACACCAGGCCACATGCTCAAGAAGCGTTGGTCTAAAAACAAAAGTGAAGCACGACGACTAACACTAGCATTACACATCTATTTTATGACCGTTTAAAAGCGCATCAAGGAAATTATCTGTCCAAACAGACTGGGCTCTGTGTGCTCTGAAATCATCTTCTAGCTTTCCAAGTGTGAACCCTTAAGCAGAACAGCCATTTTCCAGCTATCCACAGGGATATTTGACGAACAGAGCACTTCAAAGGATGTGTGAGGTGCACTTGGGCAGCTGGACGTACTGACAGAGACGGACAGACAGATGAAGCAGACACAAGGACCAAGGCGCTTTGCATTCTGTGGCAATCAAATCAACACCTTTAATAAAGCTTATAGATGTCAAACTGCAATACAATTTTATGAGGGGGCGAAAAATTCACAATTCACAAAATGTTCAATGTACAAATGCTACAAAACAGTTTGCAATCCAGGCATTAAAAAAACACCGTAGAAATAAGTAAACATTTGTTTTAAAAAAATATGGCAACTCTGCAGAGAGGCCAGCAGCGAGAGAGGTAGAGATCGTCAAGCAAAAGCA